CCTTGTTACTGTACGGCACCAACCAACCATTGTCCATCCATGTTTGTAATTCATGCTCGTAATACTGGATACTCAGAGATCCGATTCTGAAGTTTCACATGACCTTTCCCTGCGTCCCTGCCGTTTGAATTTCGGGGAATTGATACGTAATCGCTGCACAGATCTCCACGCCCATGCTGCGTGATCTAACTCCACCGAGTGCCTTAATTCGCCAGGGGCTTCCTCGCATAACCAGCACATCGATTGTATAGACAATGACGGTGCCCTTCCACAGCAAGCCAGATACCGCCATACCCTGCTTCGACCAAGACCGACGCCCTAAACGCGCTTTCAAGATTGACCATGAGCACCCTGAGTCAAGGAGGATTATGGTGTGCCGTCAACACACACAGTAATGATGGGTAGCACCGAGTTTATTTGCTGTTTGGGGAGTGGACCGCGCTGAAGTCTCGTCCCCCGCCTCCGTTTCCCGGACAATTTTTTGGCCAGATGACCGTCTTGTTGCATCGATAGCAACGCGTTAGTTGCCCTTCGCCTCTTCATGCAGTCCTCGCGAAGTGATTGGGCCCATTACATTCATAGCATGTGACAAGTGGGCCCATGTCTGGGGAAGAACGGGAATCTGGGAGGGCTTCACCGCAGCGACAACTGGTTCCCTCTCTGCTGTCTCTGCCCTTTATGATTGCCCGAGCTTGGGCCAATAGCTCCGAGAGACATATCATCCGCCCTGGCCGAGGACCGCAGGAGCCTTTTCAGAGGATCAGGAAGCCCCCCAAGACGAACACGCATGCCATCGCACTGTCTGGCACTCCTCCAAAAAGGACGGAGAGCTTCCGTAGATCAGCCAAATATACATCTACGGTCTCACCCGGACGTAATATACGTGCCTCAAATTGTTCAGATGCCGTGAATTTATCAGGGCAAATGCTGTCATCAATGCTCCCTTGATTCGAGCCACGTCCGATTTCTCTTCCGTGAGATAGTTGCTGGTAAACCGCGAATGCTCCCTGGTTAAGCCGAAGGGGATGACACGATCAAGCCGCTTCACTCCCGATAGGTCGCACACCAATTCCAATTTCTCGAGCCATTCAACCACAGATCCAGTCCCGCCAAACTCGGGAATTATCTTTAAATCAAACCGTCGTCCATGTTCGGGCCAAATAGCTTGTCGTATGTCCAGAAGTCGCTTTCTGTCTGCAATCTGTCTAGTCTCGCCGAAGCCTAGAAAAGCAGTGGCCTCCCACGTCCACTCGCTGGGTTTTTAATCGGTAGTGTGGTTCTCTTATGCAAATAAGTCTGCTGCATAAAAATGGCAGTAGGCGCACGCGCGACCAACTCTCAGAGAATGGTTCGACACGCGAGGCAACGAATTCGCTTTGCTCCTGGTAAGTCACTGTCACTGTCCAAAGGAAAAAAATTACAGCCTGAGGATGAAGACATGGATCTTCGAAAGTACTTGCTTAACTTAAAAAAGTATACACTAGAAACATCTGGCAACAGTTTTATAAATGAGGGTCACATCATTCAATGGATTAACATTATTTTAATGCATACATTATGTTCTACTAGCGAAGTGATTTCGCCATTAATCGCATTAATGTTGCTGATTGATTCTATGTATGATTATTTCTTTATATATATATATATATATATATATATATATTAGTAGGGAATGAGCCTATAGATAGAAATATATCTTTTACTAATTATGATACAAGATTCCATTCATTGAATAATTCACAAACCACAGCTTGAGAGATAAGCTCACTACAGCAGATGTTCTTTGATATTTGTTAGATATAACATCAGGAAATATTCCTTAAGCATGTAATTAGATTACTCCCAATGGCTTACCCTAACAAATAACAATTTTTTTAAAAAAATGAAAAAAACTACATATATAATCATAAATTACGTTTTACAAAATAAATTTTTTAAGAATTGATTTTTGAGGGAATATTCCTTCACAAAATTTAATTAAATGAAGAAAAAAAAACAAAAAACAACTGTAGACATTTTAGTTTTAATGCCATTTATATTTTCTGATTCAGACCAGATTGTCTACATTTTCAAGTGAAGTTTTGAATAAAATTTCAATTGGTTTAATTCCTCTGGAGACTTATCATTACAGAAAAAATATCTCAAGCATTCAAATGATATTTTATATAGAGATTTCATAAAATGAAATAAGATCTGTGTGTGCGTGTGAGTGTGAGTGTGTGTGTGAGTGTGTGTGTGTGTGTGTGTGAAGGGTAAAATGACTTAAAAATATTATTTCTACAAATTGTTTGTCCAAAATACAATTTTCATACATAAATTCATTCATAAATGAAAAAGTGGCAAAACTTTTATTGACCCCACTTAAAAAAATTTAATCGTGTATGTATATCAACAGTCAATATGTTGCTGCTGCTGATATTTTTAGCCCCCCAAAATGTAAACAGGATGTGCTGGTGGAATATCACTCAGCTTTGGCTTTGTTTGTCACTGTCACATATTATCTCACCATCTGCCTAAGGCCATATGATGTTGTGAGTATGCAGTACTATTTGAAAACAGTAATAAAAAATATTTCATAATGGCGACAGTTTCTCATTATGATGTCTGTTTATATTGGCGATTGCACTTAATATTTAACATCTTTGGTTCCTATGCAATGCTCACCAAACAAACCTAGCACACACACACATGCACAAACATTAAACAAACTCTCATTAATAAGACAAGCTATTAGAAATATTAGCATAAATTAAAAAGAACATAATACTTCCTCAAGTAACCCTAAACATATCAACCTACTATACTGCAATCAAATGCATTCTAACTACAAACAAGATAAAAAATCCTAAGAATCTCATAAGTACTAATATAACCCCTACTGATCCCAGTAAAAAAAAATGCAACTAATTATATACTACACTAAATTTAATACAACCAACTTAATCATCCACAATACCTCTTCTCTGTCAACTAATGTTTTGAAAAAGACCAACATTGTATATCAGTTTAAATGTCCTTTGGGAGATTGTATCTCTGACAAAAAAGTAAATATATATTTTGGTTTACATTACATATGTAGGATTCAAGCTCCATTGCATAATATTTAGAAGAACATTCCTGTCCAGATTCATGATGTAGAGAAATAGAAATTGATAATAAAAGTATACTCCACCATGAAAATAAAAAAAAACCAAATTCTTGAAGCTCTTTATATAAGAAAAATACAGCCACAATAAATAAGATTAATTATATGTATAGCAACAACGTTTTAAAATGTCTATAACAGCAAGGTTTTAAAATACTTAAATTGTAATTTTTTAAAAAAATTGCAATTATAACGGTAATGTTTTAAAATACTTAAAAATTGTAATTTTAAAATAAAAAATTATAAATATAAATTAAGTTACTTCCCTTAGATAACATTAATCTTTGAATTAACAGAGCGCGTTTCCTGCGCATGTTCAAAAAAATTCACAACTATCAATTACATTAATTTTTTATCTTAGCAATTCACCCCTGAAGATGATCTTGGATGGGATTGAAAGTATTGGTAAAATAAAAGAAATGAAAAAAACTATGGCAGCTTCCTTAATGAGTTTAATAACAACATTAAGAAATTGATCCATCAATTTGAAAAGTTTAAAATAAAAATAAATAGACATAATATGTTTAGATTATGCTTGAATGAAGATATGCTGCCTAAATATATATATTTTATATATATACACTACATTTCAAAAGTTTGAAGCAACATCCAGGATTCACATGGGATGAACTTGATAGAAGACTGAAAAAAAAAAAAAATATGAAACCTCTTAGCGTCATTGAAAAAAGTATGGAATCAATTATCAAACTTATACTTTGAGTAACTTTTGCAATGAATTCAAAAAATGTATGCTGCAGTAATCAAGGTTTAAGGAGGATATTTTGACAAGAGCAAAATTAATCATAAAATGCTTTTTTTCTTTTTGTGATAATAAAATTTCTAATAAAAATTCATGTCTAACTTTTTTGAATCCATTTATAATAATTTTCTCTTATTTAAAATACAAAACAACTATTTTTTAGGCCAATTTAAAAATTACCAGGGATGGCCTTTTGAACTGTAGTGTGTGTATATATATATATATATATATATATATATTAAAGACATTTTTATGTTTAACATTCTTTTTATAGATACAAGTATTTAAGTAAATGCTCTGTTTATAATAAACAGTATTAAATAACATTTACCGGCCTGAATGTCCGAGAAATTTTCATAGAAAATATTCGTCCTTTGACAGGATTCGAACCTGCATCCTATATGGAATCGTCATTTATGCTGACATGCCTTAACCGACTTGGCCACAAAGGAACGTTCGGTAGGCAAGCTCGAATTTACTGTTTATTTACTTCCCTGATAGCTATAACTTCCAACTATTCAAATCTAATGTCAATCGACATTGCCAGATGCCTTGATCTATTCCCTGCCCTTCTCTTCATTCTTTCCTCTATCATGCCTCTTTACTCTCGCTCACAATCTGTAATCCCTTGAGTACTAGTGGCATCCAGCCTTGCTTGGGGTGAAATTTTCCTTTTGATAATCTTTTGTTGTTTTTTGGAGGATTCTTTGTTGTGCACGTATTTGTATGCCAGAATTCCATTTATAGAATACATAAGCAAATCTATGGATCAGACTAATAATAGGTAATTGAATGACAAAATGAAAATATTCTATATTATGTATATTGTCCCAACAATGGATTTCCTCAGACTAATAATGGTTTCATTGATGATTGATTCATTTTCTATGGCTTATCAACCCTTTCCAGGTTATTTAAAGCCAGAAGATATTTTTAGATTGTAAGAATTTTATTCTTGGGAGATAATAATGGTTTGATGATAAAAGTCCTACTAATTAATTTATAGCTGGGAATGAGAAGAGGTAGATTCATGCCTTTCCCAAGGGTATTTGCATGTAAAGTAATTATCCATTAGACCACCTGCATATCTAAGTGTACAGCACCTGGCATTCCCAAGCAATCACCCATCTAGGTACTGACCAGGCTTAATGTTGCTTAACTTTGGTGATCATACAAGAACTGGTGTGTCAATGTCATATGACCATAAGCCCTCCATGTTAGTGAAAATATTTCTAACAAAACAGACATTACAGCTGAAATGATACAGAAGAGATGTGAGTTCAAGTCTAAGGAAGGGAGATAAATGTGAAAACTATCCTTGAAAGAAATAAAGAGTTTGTAAAACCTTTGGCAGTCACTGTGTAAGAATATCAACTTATATGTGAGTTTTTATTTGCAGTGAAGATTATATATGTATGCCATACCACATATGCAAATAACATATCAGATGTTGCTCTCTATGAAATGTATTTTTTCATCTAAATCATCATGCTATATTGTCTATACATGTCGGTTTATGCAGTATTGCCTCCAATATGAATACTAATGTTGATAACATTGTAACTACTACTAATATTTCAACATCCTGCCATATAGTCTAACAAACTGGCTGGAGTATATGCCCAATAAAAAACAGAATAAACTTTCAAAAAAATTAGAATGATAACAAGAGATGATAAATTTTAGATAATAAAATTTATCAATAAAAATGATTTATAAATTTTCATCTTGAGGACATAGATGTGCGCGCGTGCGTGCGTGTGTTTGGATGCTCTGGCACATTTATATTTAAAAATATGGTCCAAATGAAATATTGGTAAATATTCCAAAAACAAATCATTTTTTTAATGACCTTTCTCACATCTTGTTTTTATACAATATTTAGTAGCCAAAGGCAAAACAATTTATACTTGCATAACAAAAAAAAAAAGAAAAAATATTAAAGTCTACAATATTGCAGCTGCTTCTGTTTACTTCTTAAGTCAAATGTTGATGGTAAGTTATTTTAAACAGGGATACCTTAACTGAACCATGTTTATATGGTTATTTTCTTCTGCTTTTTGTGTCTAAAAGGTTGAATCTGTAACTGACAGTTATGATGATACATATGTTCTTTTGGTCATGTTGTTGCTGATATATTGTTGAAGCAGGATTATTTCTAAATATACACATAATCTTACGAGAGGTTGTGAAGACTTTTTACACATTTAGAAACTGTTTACGTTTACAGCTTCAGTCTCATATCCAACCTTCTCATTATATTATATTTCCAAGCACATCCATCTGCCTGGGAAGTTAGCCAAACTCTATTTGTGATACCTGCTCAATCCACAGAGCACAACTGTGGTCAGTAATGTTTGGTGATGCCCAGGGCCAACTCCTCCATTGTATGCACCCCCTTAGAGTCAAGTAGGGGGGGGGCTATAGAGCCTAGTACTGAGAAATGTGAGAAGGGAAAACATTTTAAATATCTAAAAACAGATGAAACATGAAATAAACACTTTATTAAAGATAAATATAAACTAAATTTTTATTTCCCTCTTTGATTGGATGCCCTTCTGATATTGATATCCAGGGCTGTCACACCATCTGTATGGTACTGACTGTGGTTTATACTGTGACTATGCTGAGCTGACCTTAGTTTCAGTTTCTGAGAAGAGTGCAAAATATGGTGTGATCAATTTATTGAACAAAACCATTACGCTCAAATACTCAGTCATGATGACTGGTAACTGTGTGCTAGCACAGTCATCAATGGCTTCCAAATGGTTACATCTACCCAATTCCACTCACAAGGCTTGGGTCAAGAGTAGAATTTGAAGAGAATTTACAAACAAAATATTCTGCTTTATCAGTAGAAGATGTTAACACCTAAAATTGAGTGAAGAGAGGAGGGATAGAAGACACTCTTTATAGAGCCACCAGTAGTCATGAGAACCAAACTTGTGGTGCCTCAGTCTATCAGCAAACAAAGACTTAGCCACTTTGAGGATATGTTTATAATTATTATGAACAGATACAAAGAAGTGTTTGTTGTGCTTGGAAATATCATGCTGGTACACTTGGAAAAAAATGATTCCTGTGGCAATAGCAGCTGAATAGGCCGGTGTGAACCAAAGAGAAAATTGTAGTTTCATCTGGTATTTCTGAGAAGGTACAAAATCATCAGAGCCAACTTTAACCTGAGAAGAAACCTCTTTAGTACTATTCTCAATAGGAAGGTTAACAATATTAATCCAAGGGGTGTCTCAAAGAAAGTCATGAAATGAATCCCAATCAGTATGCTGATAACAGGAAGAAATCTTGTAAATATATATATATATAATTTATAATAGATGACTCAAAAGAAATATCAACAGATACTACAGTGTGATCTGAATTGCCAAGAGTTATAATACTTGACAAGTGACAGGAGGAACCAGGGAACATATCAAGTAAAGAATAATGTTGATCAGATTTATTAGAGAAATGAGTAGGGAAACTAGAAGGGAAACCCACTATTTGTCTGAAATAGTGAGCAACAGAAAAATTGAAAGTCTGAATACCAGCAACATCAGGAACATTAGAATGATTAAGCCACTTCATGTAAAGAACATTAAAATCAACAAACATAAAAATCTTCAGAGATGAATGCGGGGAGAGAGCCATTTCTACATTGTCAAAAATTTTGCCTAATATTTTACAGTCCTGTGAAGAAGGAGAGTGATAAAAGAAAAAAGAGATGGCTGACAGAGAGCAATAACAAAAGTTGAAAACTGGGGACTCAAGAGATGATTCTCTTGCAATTCAACTATCCAAAGTTTATGTTTCATTCTGTTTTGTTCAGTTTTGATCACTTTATACAGAATTTTGATTTGGTTGTTTTTTTAATTATTTCATCCCAAGCAAAGTGATTATGCCACTAAGATACAAGGGGTTTTACTGAAAGTGAAAGAGAATGAGAAAACTTTAGTAAGGAGAAAAGACTATCAAAGAACATGATTCCAGAAGACTGAAGATAGTAACTGGTGTTACATTTAATAAAAGTCAGATGAATTTAACAGAATTTGTTTGGATACACATGAGAAAATTGGCAGTCAGTTGCTGATACATCCTGACGAGTGGACTGAACAATTACAAAACAATTTTGTCTATGAAATTCTGGAATTAGGATGCTGAATATAACATCAATCAGGATAGTGACAAATTTCCTATTTGTATCTTATACATATATATATATATATATATATATATATATATATATATATATATATATACATACACACACACACACACACACACACACACACACACACACACACACACACACAAACAATTGTGGACAGAATTATTCATCCCCACTTCCATAATTACAAATAAAACTGTTATACCTTAAATTTTCATTGAAATTTCATGTGCATTTTTTCACAAATGAAATAATTGATTTGAAAGAACATGTAGTAATACTCACAACAAAATTTTTATTTTAATGTCAAACAATAATACAAAAAATAACAAAAAAAAAACATTTAACATAGGACAAAATTATTGGCCTTCTTGCCTCAATAATCAATTGTATAACCTTTATTCTTGTTTATTGCCTTTAATTATTTTGATAGTTCCTTATAAGAAAATTACATACACTGATCGTTATTTTGCTCCATTCTTCCTTGGCATTAGCTTCTAGTTCCTCCAAATTCAAAGGACTTCTTTTTTTTACTTTTTTCTTCAAATATGTCCCAAAATTTTCAATAGGGTTTAGGTCAAGATTTTGTGCAGAGTATGCCAATACCATAATTTTGCTGTCAACTAAGTATTTTGTAACAATATGTGCCATATGTTTTGGGCCATTGTCATATTAGAAAATCCCAAAGACAGCTTTTGGGCATTTTGTTTTATATTATTTTTAAGAATAGCCAAATACTACTCTTTATTCATGATACCCTGTACACTCACTAGTTGTGGTTCAGAAGCAGCAAAACATCCCCAGAGCAGATTACTGCCACCACCACCATGCTTAATTGTAGGGAGGGTATTTTTTGGTTTGTGAGCTTCATTCAATTTTCTCCTTACATAACAGTGATTCATGAGACCAAATAATTTTAGTTTGGTTTCATCTGACCAAAAAGAAGAATTTGAATATTTACTCCTATGTTCTAAGATGGCTTCTAGCATAAACTAATCTGCATTTTAGGTGTTTAGCCTTAAGTAAGTTTGTTTTTCTTGGGAGACAAGCTCAAAGTCCTGCTCGATTAAAGTATCTAGTGACTGTCTTTTCAATACATTCAACTCTGATGTCTTTACATCATTAACAATGTCCTTTGTTGTTAAGTGATGATTCTTTGAGACATCTCTAACAATTTTCTTTTCCATTCTCTCAGGAATTAACCATTTTCTGCCAGTCCTTAATTTATTCTCAACGCAATGACTCTGGTACTTCTTGATAATGTTACGAATTGTTGATCTAGGAACATTTAAACCCTTGGAAAGTGTTGTATATCCATCACCTTGTTTGTATGCATCAACTATCTTGCCATAGAGATTTATTATTTCATAATTTTCATAAGTGGTCGGGGGCAATAATTTTGGACTGCACCAATTTTTAGAAAAAATTATAACTATGAATATAACAGACTGAAACTTCCAAAAATTTCATGAATTATTCAAGACTAAATACAGAATCAAGTACAGCGTAACCTGGATATAAGAGAGTTGTTGGGACCGGAGAAGAAGTCTGTTATATCCGGGTTTGGTCTATTTTATATACATTAACACAGGCTCTAATTTGGGACCAGAGAAAATCTCTCTTATATCCGGGTTTCTCTTATATCCGGATTACACTGTATTTATGGTAAATTCAGTAAGTACTTGTAAATATTTGCATTTCCTTAGAAAATATGCAAATATTCAGCAGGGGTGAATAATTCTTATCACAACCATGTGTGTGTGTGTGTGTATATATATATATATATATATACACACACACACACTCACTCACTATATATATATATATATATATATATATATATATATATACATACACACACACACTCACTATATATATATACATATAATAAATAAATAAATATAGAGGCATATACTAATGGATAGCAGCTCAGATTGAGGAACTGAGAGACAAACATGATTTCCAGTTGAGTTCATTTCATTCACTTACATACTAATACCCTTGAGAAATGTATGAATTCATCTCTTATCCCCACAGTGA